TTCATGTCACTGATCTACTATACAATCCAAGTGCAGTTTAATCCCTGGAGAATATTTTATTCATCAGAGGTCTCAACCAAAAGCATCTAATTGGAGTACTAAATCATATGAGAATACTGTAATAATGATCAGTAGGTGATCAGCCTATATGCCTCAAATTACATCAAATCATTTTTTATTACAGTCAAAGACTAACAAAAGGAGAGCAAGTAGAAGGATTTTTTTTAAAAAAAAATACAAAATACAAAAATAAAATTACAAAAAAACCTCGTAAAATATAAAAACGATAAATAGACATAAAAACTTGGTAAACCATATATAATACAAATAATATAGATATTGTACAAAACACTATAATCATGATAATTGATGTGTGGCACAGGTGATCTTCTGACATTTGAAGTGCTGCAGGGCAGAACCAGGCACATTGCATATTGTAGCATGGTTAGTATCTGAAAACAGTAGGGAAGTATAGAATTGTCCTGTGGCCTCTAGGTATTGATGCAATATTGTTGAAAAGAGGCTAATAAAAATGTTTCTGCAGTATAGGCACTAAAGAAATACATGTGTGAAGCACCAGAAAAATCAGGCGATCCAGGAAGTTCAAATGAGTATAAAGATTTATTGCAAACCAATAAAAATCTAATAAAACTTGGGGGAAAAAGATTTATTGCAAGTTTAAGCTCTCTACAAGAATCTGATCAACTGGCATTCAAATGAAATGCTCAGGAGATAAGACAGACATTCAAGGTGGATTGGGCTTAGATCTCTTGCAGGCACACAGAGTCTCATAATTTATGAAGATTTGACCCCTCCCTCAGCCTGCTCATCTCCAACAACACGTTCTGTTATTTCCAGGGCATTGTCTCTCTCTGAATAGGGAATCCTCCATTATCAGCCTTCAAAGGCAGTGAGAGGAGGGTATGACACTGTGCCATAATAACTGCCCTACAGTGGTTAGGTACTTTAAGATTTGTTAAGTATGTCATAGGAGAGGTAGAGTACCTGCTGGTAATAAAGGTTGGACCTACCTGGCTAGGTCCAATTAGCACTCAGTTTAATGAGAACTTTCACCTGAATATATCCTATGCTGACCTGGAGAGAATTTCATTAACACAGTCCTTGTCAAACTATGGCATGGAGTGGTGCTGTTGTTGCTTCAGGGGTGCACTATTGCAACAAGGTAGATGTTGGTGGAGCTCTTGGTTGAGAGAGTTACAATAGTCTGAAGTTAACCTTGGAGTTAATCTGTGCTGATTTGAGTGCTGATTACTGGTGGAGAGGTGTTGGAGTCTTTGTTTTTTTTCTTTGAGGCTGGTTGCAGCACTCAGATCAGCATAGATTAAGGTTAATATTGGACCAACAATCAAGTAAGCAATATCCCTATCAAGAAACTTCCAAAGAGCCATTAGTAAACAGCCCAATCAAAGAATCTCTAAGACAGCCCCACTCACAGACAGGCAAGACACAAGTATGTAAACTGATGGCAAACTGCCCACCTTAGTAGCACTGATGATGTTATCTAGTTAGGGTAATGAAATATTTGCAAGAAAACAAGCTCACAGAGCACCAAAGATCCCTCATTTCAACCCTAGGTTACAAATATTCCTCTTTATTTAATTTAAAGACTGTTTGAGCCTGGCAAAGGCCTGTAAAGTTTGATTTTGGAACCTTTGAGAAGAAATCTGTTGTCTTCACAGCTGGGAGCAAGGCATTTGTGCTTTGCATAAAGGTTGTCATTGGGGCCCAATCAACCCTAACCCCAGCAGCATAGGTTTTTATTTCAGTTCTCAAGACTGAGCTGAGGTTTCTGTCTCACTAGAGGTATTATAAGCATTCATTATAAACAGGTCACCATGACTGAATTGGATTAACTAATACAGAACCTTGGGGCACCCCACTATTTACTTCCCTCCATGTAGATGTAGTTCCATTAAAAACTATATGTTGAAGAATAAATCAATCCTCTCTTCTCTGTGACTCTGTTCTCTGCACATTTTCCATGGTTTCAACATCTTTTTTGTGTCACGGTGACCAGAACTGGCTGCAGTATTCCAAGGGTAGTCTCATCAATGTGGTATAAAGTAGTACTATCTTGTGTTCTTGATGCTATCCCTCTATTGATGCAGCCATGACTTCATTGGCTTTTTTGGCAGATGCATCACATTACTGGCTCATATTTAAGTGGTGGTTAATTAGGACACCTTGATCTCTCACAATTACGCTCACATAGTTACAGATTCATACTGTTATAAACAATATTATTAAAAATATATTTAGATGAATGAAAGAATATCTATATGCCTATCTTCCACCTAATCTTTACACCTTAAAAATTCCAAAAAAGGAATCAAAACATTTAAAATTCTATGCTGGGTGCATTAATCTTGATTTATGTAGTAATTTTTTTGTCTGGGTCCTGTGGCAACTTCCTCTGAAAGAAAACACGTTGGATTAAATGTGGTAAATTGTCCTGCCAAAAACTTCTAAACCTGCTCATACAGATTGAGCAACATTGGCTAACAGAGCTAGATTAAAGGGAGGGTGTCATCCTCTTATTATTACTTTCTGCAATATAATTAGCTGCATCTCCAGGAATAGTGTCTGTTCAGGAATTAATGGATTAATGAGTAAGATTCTTATTTTCTAAAAGTTCACAGCCCTGAGGCGGTACATGATGAAGCAACACAAATAAACCTAGAGCTCTTTTATTTTGTATTGTTTTAGCTATGATGTTACCAAGTAGAATGTTGGTTGGAATAAAAACAGTTTTAAAGAGAAAAAAATATAATTCTCTTAAATAGCCTGGAGCTAGCCTTAAAAGTAGTAGCCAGTCCTTTATATTTTGCCAGTGGAATACCTTACACATGGATGCCAGCTGGGTTCTTTGCATTTTTCCAAAATCCAACCTGGCTGCTGGATTTTGTACCAGCTGAAATTTCTGGGTCAGATGTACAGACAACTACACATAAATAACATCACTGTAATAAAGCCTAAAGGTCAGCAGTCTTTAAAGCATGCTTTTAAGAGACTTTATACAAGAATGGGGTTGTTTAAGGATGTCAAATGAGCTGATAAAAATTTAAAAAATTAGATTTGGATCCCAAAGTATCCTGTGGAGATGAGCAATGGCACCTACTGTCTTCTCCTGTCCTAGTCTGGAGTTTATGGTATTTTTTATTAACTTCCAGGCATCTGTCATGAGTTAAGCTAAGAAAGCACAGCCAGGAGACTTTTGGTTTGCCCCAGTCCCTTTTTCCACCATCTAACACCTGTACAGCTGTTGTTTCTCAAAGCTTACTTTGACACTGCCAACTCCTCTCCTGCTTTTTTCTTCTTCTCTATTTTCTTTGGCAGGATAATTTAAAACAGGAGATCCAAGCCCCGAGCCATCCTCCGTTACCAGGTCAAGGCCTTTTTGGAACCAGGCTATGTGTGTGGCAGGCTGGTGCACATGCACATGTGTGCAGCTCAACTTACATGAGTGATGTGCTGGCATGCACGTGCATGTATGCATCCCAACTCACACAAGTGGGACTGGCTCCCCTCTCGCCAGGCCACCAAACCGCAAAGGTTGGAGACCACTGATTTAAAACATCCCTGAAAGAATTAATCATTGGATTACTGTTGCTGTGTACTGGATTTTACAATAGGAATCACTTTCCTATACTGAATTTTACAAACACAACTATTTTGACTCCTTTTCCCAATGGTTCGATGCCTGAGTACAGGGATAATAGATAGAGAAAGGAATTGGTCTCATGTAAAGAGTAAGGAAGATAATGGTAGGACTGATCTATTACCAAATGACAAGGGGGAAAGCATAGTTTAAGTCCAAAACAAGAAGAAGATATACACAAGTAATTCAGGCAGGCACCTTCCTAATTCACATGATGTTTGTGGTTGGGGGAGAAGTAACTCATAGTTAGACTTACATGATTGGTGTTAGTCTCACTTATGTAGATCAAATCAAGAAATCAACTCCACAAGAAGACTAAAACTATCAGTAATTTTGGCTATAGTACCAGAACCCTGCAAGTTTGACTTTGCTTTATTCCCCCTTCCCTCTGCTCCTTATGCTCATACTCACTGCTCAGGATAAGGAGCTTTCTGGTTAAAAAAAAAAGGTATTGGAAATAAAGACAATGGGAAACTAAGTATGGCTGCAGCTTTAAATTAATACCAAATCACAATTAAAATGGAAAAAAACCCAACATTAATCATATCTAATGTAACTTGATTTACCAAGCAAAAGTACAATTTTAGCAAATTGTTTGTTTACAGGAGATATACATAAAATGAGATCATGTCAATCTGTTATAAAAAGAATAAGTTAAATCAAGCTATTATGCATAGAAGCTATACAATGTATAGCATATGGAAAAAGAAAAAACTGGAATAGCAATTTATCTTAAATCACCTTCCTGGGAATTATTAGAACAGCTTAAGACCACTTTAACAACTTGACCAGAACTTCTACAGAACTAAAACTACTAAGCCAACCTTAATATAATGGCAAACCATCTGGTGCATCTCCCGTCATAGAAAATAACAAACATTAAATATACATTATTGAGAAATAGAATTATTCTTATTTTTATTTGAAATAAGTAAATATTTATTTTACCTTATTTTAGCATGCATAACTTTTGTCTCCTGTTAACACTTCTGTATAAATATATACTTGTAATAGTACATGTTATATAAGTATAGACTTCACTGAAACTTATTTTTGAATAAGTACAATATATATAGTATCCTAAGTTTTCTTATAAGTATGTATGTATCTCTATAAATATGGGAACTACTATATTAAAAGGTGTACCATTTCATTTTAAAAAAAGATCATATTTCACTGAGGTGCTTTTTTCTTCAGGATAGTATCTAATTGTTCTCTTTCCCAGTCACTTGGTTTCCCAGACAGAACTATTGTATTCATATGATGTTTTGCAGCTTGTTCAATTTCTGATTTTATGATCTTTCTTGCTTTTTCCCACTAGGGACTTTGTGCTCAAACATTCTATGGTCACTTACATTCCTGCAACCATGCCACGTTCAACATGAAGGTAAGCTAAAAACAGTAAATAATTATGGTTTAAATAGAATATACATACATATATACACACGTATACATATACACATACAGACAGTGTCTGTATATATATGTGTGTGTGTGTGCATATGTATATATATATGTATGTATATATGTTTGTGTATATATGTATATATACACATATATATTACAGTGGCTTAGCACATTAAAGACGTTGAACTTGTTAACTGGAAAGCTGGTAACTTGGGTACAAGACCCGATGCTGCATTACAGGGTGAGCTCCTGTTAACTTGCCCCCGTTTCTGCCTGCCTAGGAGCTCGAAAGCATACAAATTCAAGTAGATAAATAGGTATCACTTTGTTGGAAAGCTAACAGTGTTCCATGCACCTCGGTGTATGGTCATGTTCACCATATGACCATGGAAAAGTCTTGGGACAATTCTGGCTCCGTCAGCTAAGAAACAGAGATGAGCACTGCCTCCTAGAGTCAGATATGACTGAACATGGGAAACCTTTACCTTTACTTTACATACATGCAGACACTCATTTATTCATACATACATATAAAATCTGTATGTCAAGTAATTTTGCTGCTGGATATATAATCTGCTGGAGTTTTTAGCTTCCTGAAATCATTATTTTCCAACAATAATTCCAGAAAACACTATTCTCCCTATTGAATGGAAAAAAAAATCTATTCATTTTCTGTTTGGTTATTGTGTCATTAATCATGTTCATGTATATACTTTATATACATGAACATACTGTCTGTATATATATACATACATAAATACATACATACATACATACACACACACACACACACACACACACACACAATAAAATAGTTTAGAGTTCTTTAGAGGACTTATGTTTCTCATAGGTTCAATTTTAACCAATTACAATGGTGCAATTTGTTGCTGAATTGTCTTATCCCTACTATTTTGATGGAATTGAATTTAGATACCTGGATGATTATCAGGGCAATATTTTTGTTAAACTTTGGGAGAATTTCAGATTGTACTCAACAACTCATTAAATATTTAAAGAAACCCTCCAAAGATGGAATAAGAAAACAAAACATTTCTATGTTTTTTAACAAGAGGGTTATACTGGCAGCATGACTTATTTCTGGAAAGGATGCTTTATGCTGACATCAGGATATGTCAGTTACTGCAAACAATTTTGGTCATCATACTACAAAAAAGATGTTAAGACTGGGAAAAATTCAGAGAAGAACAACTAAGATGATCAAAGGCCTGGAGACTAAAGCATATGAAAAATGGCTGCAGGATTTCGGGATGGCTCATCTAAAGAAAAGAAGAATTAGGTATGACATGATAACACTATTCCAATATTTGAAGGGCTGCCACAAAGAAGAGAGGGTCAAATTATTCTCCAAAGTACCAAAGGGCAGAACAAGAAACAATGGATGGAAACTAATCAAAGAGAGAAGCAACCTGGAATTCAGGAGAAACTTCCTAACAGTGAGGACAATTAACCAGTGGAACAACTTGCCTCCAGAAATTGTGGACAATCCATCACAGGAAGTTTTTAAAAAGAAACTGGACAGCCACTTATCTGAAATAGTATAGGTTCTCCTGCTTGAGCAGGGGGCTGGACTAGAAGACCTCGAAAGTTCCTTCCAGCTCTATTCTGTTTTAACAGTCTAGCATTGTATTCTCCTGCAGTGTCCTTCATAATGTTAAACAATTAAGCACAAACATTTTTACATTGATAATTTTATAGATTAACATTTATTTTGATTAGGAGTGTTACATCTGGCACAAAACACTATGCTAGAATTGCTGATTGACATCATTTGTAACTTAATTAGAAAAGTTAAAAACTGTCAGTAGAAGGCTGATTAAACAGAACAAGGGGTGCAATTTTAGAAGCTATAATTACAGACCCAGAAATTAATTGTAGTTCTGTAGAACTCAAGCAGCTGAACTGTAGGTGTTCATGCTGAATATGTAACTATCAAACTATTCGAATTGCTTTTCATTCTGAAAACTAGAGTGCTCAAGTGTGTTCTCATACAAAAATATTCATAGCTATCGGAAAGTAAGTATTTTTTTAAAAGAATTTTTATTTTAGACAAACATACAGGGACAAAACATAAAACATAAAACCATCTTCCAGTTACGTACATACAGTGTGTCGGTTGGTTACAAATCTTTTGTGCATCCTCTCCATAGTCCTCACTTAACAGTTTTTATAAATTCTCATATTATCAATCTAGTATATATGTATACATTATTATCATTGTTAATCATTTATTTGACTATAACTCTTTTTCCATCATTTTATACAAGATATTCAAAATTTTAAATTAATTTATATTATAACATTCATTACATCATCTTAAATCCATCCAATAGTAGTATATCTTTATGTTATATTCTGTATATTCTATTATCCTTATATTGTAAAATTCTCTAACATATTTCATTTCCATATTTTTTGTCTAACCATTGATAAAATAAATTCCCATATCTTATAATATTGTTTATCTTCTTGTTCTCTAATTTCAAATGTCAATTTGCTCATTTCGGCATATTCCATTATTTTCTTAATAACTTCCTCCTGCATTGATATTTTCTCATTTTTCCAATTTTTAGCAAATACAATTCTAGCCTCTGTTAATACATTTACAATCAAGTATTTCAATTCTCTTCTGTATATTTCTGGTAAAATCCCCAGTAAAAATATCTCTACTTTAAAGTCTATATGTTTTTCTGTCATTTTTTCCAACCATGTGTGGATTTTAGTCCACTATCTTTTAGCTTCTGCACACGTTCACCACATATGGTAATATGAACCTGATATCTGATGACATTTCCAACATATTTTGAATTTATTTATAAACATTCTTGCTATTCTCATCGGGGTAAGTACCTCCTGTAAAACATCTTATACAAATTTTCTTTATATGCTGTTGACATTGTCATTTTGTACTTTTGAGACCATAATTTTTGCCATTTCTCTAAATCAGGGGTCACCAACCTTTTGGACCTCAGGAACCACCAAACTCATAGATCCCAAGGACCACTAACCAGTTCTGTGGGCGTGGCTTAATTTGTGGGCGTGGCTTAATTTGTGGGTGTGGCTTGGTGGTCATGTGACTGGCTGGGCATGGCTTGTATGTAAATATAAATATTTATATAAATATTGATTTTTTTATTAAAAAAGAGCAACTTTTACCCAAAATCAGGCAAAGCAGGCAGATTGAGTTGCTCACATTCATTCAGAGATCTATCTATCTGCCATTGGCTAGCTCAGCCTGTCACATAAAATTTGCTAGCAAGCAAACTCACAAAATTAACTCACAATATACCATGCATGTAAATATTGATTTTTTATTAAAAAATAGCAACTTTTACCCAAAATCAGGCAAAGCAGGCAGATTGAGTTGCTCACAGAATCATTCAGTGATCTATCTATCTGCCATTGGCTAGCTCAGTCTCTCAAATTTTCTTGCCGTGAGTCTGCACTGAATTTACTTGCAAGCAAACCTTCAGTCCTAAGGGAGGTTTGGCTGTGCTGAGCTGAAGATCTAAAGACTAGCTAGAAAGCAAGAAATCCAACATTTCCTGCTTCCTAGCTAATCTAAATCTTCTGGCACAGCAGAACAGATGATAGTCAGAAAAAGGAAAAATAGCAATTTAGCAGGCAAGTTTGCCGGGTAAGGAGTGAGTGGGTGGGGAGGGTTCCCACAGGCCATGTGGGCAGCGCAGCCTAGTGTTTCTGCGCAGCCTGGATTAATTGCTTTGTGGGGGTGCTCTGGGGGTGAGATTTCTCTGCGGCCCACCAAAATTTTCTCACGGCCCACCGGTTGGCAACCGCTGCTCTAAATCAATCCCATATCCAAAAGTTTTCCCCCAAGCAATAATCAGTTCTTTAACTTGCTCTTCTTCTAGTTTAACCTCTAATAAATATCTGCTTCAGGCCAGTAATGTGGAATGGGATTTTAAAAGCCAGCTGAAGTGCTTTCAATTGGCTGCTTTTAGGATTGCCCACAGGGTATGTCAGAATCATTCAGTCTGGAAAGCAGTTTGGCAAGCACTGTGTCATTTGTTGCTGCTTGGCATTCACCACATCTTAGAATAACACTGTCAACGCACTGTCTGCCCCATCCAAACTGCTTGGTAGCAGTACTTCTTCCACAGCATTGGAGAAAGGGTTTGGGAGGAGGCATCTGGTCTGGATGAAGCTTCAGGTTGAGTGATTTTAGCATACAGTGTAGGGTTTTGTAGAATGTTCAACAAAGCTGCAGAGCCTGGAAAACCTTCATGACTCATTGGACAATTTAGCATATGTCGCACGTGTACGTAGTCCTTCTGCCTAGAAATGCTTCAGCCAACAACAGGGAGAAGCTTCTTCTCAGCTTTTACCTATAGCATGAGTTCTGTAGGAAAAGGCTGAGAGGTGCTTCACTGAGGTAGAATAAGGCAAAATGATAGGATTGTTTTACTTCACTTTTCACTCTTAAAGGGCAGGGGACTACTTTGCTTCCTGAAGCAACTTCAAAGGAATGCTTCCTAGTAGGCTTTGCTGAAACCCCTGTGAATAATCACACAGCTGTACTACACAACTGAAATCCTGCTTGGCTTTTCAAGATCAGCTCAGTACTGTCACCTACTGAAATTATTTTGCTATAATTTAGCATCTGGTCAGATTGCTGTAGAGGCACACATTTTATTCTGAATGTGCTGATATGTTACTAACAATAATAGTGGACATACTTGACCCTGAAGACCATTTATGACATGCTTCAAAGATTTAGCATATATTTGTTGACAGATGTCAAATAATAAGACTCAAGAGAAGCAGTATGTACAGGCAAGCTCTGATCCTTTTGGAATGCCACCAAATTGTTTTTGCCTCCCATTTTGGACACCCACTGTAACGTATACATTTTGTTGCCAGTTATGAATTGTGATGAATTTAATAAAATAAGAATAAAATAAGTCTTCTCATTGAGCAGAATTAGTGATAAGCATTTTTAAA